TGGGCCTGGGTGCTGTCCCTCAGCTCTTCAGCTCAAGGCGAGCGCTCTACCACTTGAGCTACAGCGCCACTTCCGAAATAGGCATACTTATTATACCTTGTATAAAAGATGAGGAAACTGAGCCACAGGGCTTGTGTGACTCATTCAAGGATCCACTATTTGCAGGGCCAGAATTTGAACCCAGGCAGGTCTGCTCCAGAGTTTAAGCACAAAGAAGCAGACTGTATAACCACTCCTGACTTTGAAGACTGTGCTATGTGTACACTGTGGAATGTTTGCATTTGAAGGGGCTACATACTAAAGAATTTAGGGAGGGAAAAGCACCATGTCAGCAATTTAATTTCAACTGCTACTAGGAAACACACACACACACACACACACACACACACACACAAACTTTGGAGTACTTGAGACTTAAAGCAAACAAATAGGCATAAGATAGGAACAGATTGTTCACAGGAAAAAAACAACTCACAAACAGCTTTTATTTTTTGAGATAAGGTCTTGCTATGTAGTTCAGCCTGACCTTGAACTCATAATCTTCTCTCTAGTACTGAAATTACATGCATGTGCCACCATACTCAGCTCTAAATTACTCTTACATATACAAAAAAGATCTTCAATTCCACTCATAAGAGAAATTCAAATTAAACCATAGAGTTATAACTGTTAAGTTAGCAGACTCAAAGGTTAAGATACACTGTATGGGCCAGAGTATGCATACTATCATATCCTTGTTGGTCAATGGTGTGAATTAGTGCAATCTCTATGCATAGAAACTTGATAATTACCTATTAATGCTATAATTTCACCCACTTTGTAATCCAAAAATTCCATTTGCATGAACTTACATAATGAATATTGTATACATGACCTATTACTGTAACAGTAAAAGATTAAAATAACCAACAAAGAGGGGATTGGTTCAATAAACCATGCTATAATAACTAAAATACTGCTTTGCCAGGTGCTCGTAGCTCATACCTGTAATCCTAGCTACTCAGGAGGCTGACATCTGAGATGGCAGTTCAAAGCCAGCCCGAGCAGGAAACTCCGTGAGACTCTTATCTCTAGTTAACCACCAGAAAACCAGAAGTGGTACTGTGGCTCAAGTAGTAGAGCACTCGCCTTGAGCTGAAGAGCTCAGGGACAGACAGTGCCCAGGCCCAGAGTTCAAGCCCTATAACTGACCCCCTACATCACACACACACAAATATATATATACACACATATATATGTTACTTCATGTCGCTGTAAAACATGAGGAGATGACTAAGTACCAACACAGAAATCTTTCTTAGCTATATTACCAAGTGAGAAAAGCAAAGTAAGAAACAGTATGAAATGCAAGCTATCGCTCATATTGGGAGGGGGGGAGCGGGAATCATGCACATTTCCTCTATCAGTAGAAAATAAACCCTGGAAGTACAAAAATGTTAAAAATTGTTAACTGAAAGAAAGGAAATTGAGAACTAGAAAACGAAGGTGGAAAGACTTGTTACTGTGCATTAAAAATGTATAAAATCTGTTAATTTTAAAACCTGCTTTTTCTTTTAAAAATTCAAGGTTCGTAAATGAGGGCTGCAGTAGCCAGCCTCTATACTGATCCTCTTGGTATCCACATGGTTTCTTGTATGATTGTTTCCATAGTAAAGCCCACTTGGATTGTTTAAAAGCGTTTGTCAGAAGTGATCGCATAATATGTTCTGAGATTAGGCTTTCAAACAATACTGCAGTTTCTGTCTTGGGCTCGGTCAGATCACATTTGAGTGGAGCCAGCTGGCAGATCACAAGCCTCATGAAGAAGTTCATGTACTGAGGGACTGCCCCTTTCTGCCAACAGCCTTGTGACTGAACTTGGAAGCAGGATACTCTATTGCAGGTAAGCCTTCAGATGATTACAGTGCCAGCCAACATGCTGAGAACATCCTGAGAAATTCTAACATCAGAAAATTCAGCTAAGTCACCCTAGATTTCTGACCTCCGGAAAATACATGAAATAGCAAAAATGAGTTGATTTAAGATGCTAAATTTGGGTATAATTTGATATACAGCAACATATAATATAAATGTCTCTTGGGTCATTCTTTATAGACTATCAGTATAGTTCCATATAGATAGATAGATACCTTTTACAAATATACAAACGCATTAAAAAATCCAGAACAACACATAGAAAAACATCAACCCTATCCAAACATGATAGATTTAGAGCTGTACTTATTTTCCTTATACTTTTCTGTAGTTCATAACCTTCCCCCACCAAAAAAAAAAAAAATAGCACTACATAGTTCTTGGGCAATCAACAAAAAATACAGCTTGAACCGGGTGAGGGTGGCTCACGCCTGTAATCCTAGCTACTCAGGGGGCTGAGATCTGAGGATCGCAGTTCAAAGCCAGCCAGGGCAAGAAAGTCTGTGAAACTCTTATCTCCCATAAACATTCAGAAAACCGGAAGTGGCTCAAGTCCTAGAGCACTCGCCTTGAGCTGAAGAGCTGAGGGACAGTGCTCAGGTCCCGAGTTCAAGCCCCATAACTGACAAAAAAAAAAAGTACAGCTTGAAAAAAGAGATTAAGCAAATAATAGGAGAGAGTGGGTTTTTACTCTCATTTGCTAGGCTTCAAAGGCATCTGAGGTGTGGAAACAAAGATAATGTCAGGCTTAAGTAGCATGAAGAGGCATCTGGGAGGAGGGGAAGGCACAGGGACTACATAGGCATTGAAAGAAGATGGAGCAACACGAGGTTATGTCAGGGTTATGAGAACAGACTCTAAAGCCCAAGTTCAAATCCTGGCTCAATTCTAGGTGTATGACCTTAAGTTATTTAACTTTTCTTTTTTTTTTTGGGGGGGGAGGTCCGGTCGTGCGGCCTGAACTCTGGGCCTGGGCGCTGTCCCTCAGCTCTTCAGCTCAAGGCGAGCGCTCTACCACTTGAGCCACAGAGTCACTTCCGGCTTTTTTCTTTTTGCTTATGGTGCTGAGGAATCAAACCCAGGGCCTCATGCATGCAAGGCACTCTACCATTGAGCCACCTTCCCAGCCCGTTATTTAACCTTTCTGTTCCAGGGCCTTCAGTAATATGTGGACAATTCTATAGAGTTGAGAGGATTAAATACATACCCTGATATTAGTAAGGCTTATATATTTGTTTGCTATTTTTATTAGTGTTTAATGATATCAAAGTACTTAGTTTTCCTCTATAAAAGCCTTTGTACTAAAACAATGAGGGTCAAAGAAAATATAACATTTCTGACTTGACAGAACTTATAATTTTGTTGAGAGTGTGAAACAAGAAAGTAGAGCCAGAAGTGATTTAAATCAAGGGTTTGCAAACTACAACCCAAGTGGCTAAGAATAGGCTTTGTACTTTTTCTCCTCTCTTTTTGTGTGTGTAGGGGGGGGGGAGTTTAGGGTATAATAATCCAGGGTCTTGCTCTACAACTAACCAACACCCTCACCTAAAGCTAGGTAAATGAAACCAAACAAAGGATATACAAGACACCAAAGTGGGGCCACAAAGGTGAAACTACAGAAAAAAAGTTTACAACCCCTGATCTAAATAAGGGCAGGGCACAATCAAGTGCACAAGAAAGCATTATATAGGCAGAAAACGAGCTTTGAACTGTAAACTATCTTACAAGGTCAAGATTTTTTTTTTTGCAATTTATTCAGAAATGGTCATCGAAGTTTTGCTTCAAGTATTCTTGGCTAATGTAGGACTCACTCACTATTAGACTTGAGTTCTAAAACAGCGCTCATCAACTCTTTCCATATTTCCCACTTGTCTAACTGCCTGTCATTCGTGTGTGTGTGTGTGTGTGTGTGTGTGTGTGTGTTAGTTTCTCTTGCAGGTAGTAAACCTGATGTATACTGAGACTCAGATTTATATATGAATCCTTGCTATGCCATAGACAAGAAAATTTATAAAACAATGTGAAGGTCCCCAAGAAAGAGAACGATCGTCCCTCAACATTACTTTCTTCCGAAACCACTTTATTCTGGGGTTCATCTTTCCAGCACAAAGACAATTATCATGCAATGCACAGCTCTGAGTCAGATGTAAACTTAGGTTTTCATTTACCAAATATGGCCCACTAGTACACGCACTCGTTCACCGGCTCGTCTTTTTCTTCATCGATAAAGGGAAGTGATCGACCAATGGGTCTCATCTAGGTCAGAAAATGCCCGTGAGCAAGAACCGTCTCAGCAATTCCACGCCCGAGTCCCATCCTTAACAGCCGAAACCAGGGTGGACTCGTGGCGCTCTCAATGTCGACAGCGCAAGACTTGGCTACAGGTAAAGCAGGTGAAACAACAAACACCCCTAACACAGCCCAGGGTTTCAGACACACACACGTCCACCCGAGGCGATAGCGCCGCGGCTCCGGGCTACAACTGCATCTGCTAGGCCTCGTCAGCGGGAGTCCTTCCCGTCCCCAGACTGCGACTCTCCCAGGGAAGGGAAGCGGCCGCCGGCACCAGAGCAGCGACTCGGGAAGGAAGCGGGGATCTCCTGCGGGAAAGGCCTGGCGGAAACCCCACCGCACCCGCCCTCTCACCTAACGTGGTGTCCGCGAAGAACCTGCTCTGAGCCGGGTCCGGTCCCGAGTGACAAGACCCTCCCGGCAAGGGGCGGGTCCTGTCCAGAAAGGACCCTCCCTTCGGCCCCGCCCACAGGCGCTGGCGGCCCCACGGGCTGTCCGTCGTCCGCCTGACTAGAAAATGAGGCGCTCCTCCCCGCTCCTCGACGGGCCTCGGTCCCCCGGCGGAGAAAGCTCCTTTTGAATTCTGTAGATAGGAGCGACGAGCGAGGATAAAAGGGCCGGTGACAATTCAACGGCTGGGTTTTAGTCAGGCAGTGAGTTGGGCGCCTGGCCTGCCAGGCTCGGAAAAGAAAAGTCCTCTCCGCGGTCGCGGCGGCTAGAAGCGCTCTCTGCTTTCGTCCTCTCCTGCAAGATGGTTGCTTCCCGGGCCATTGGCAGCCTCAGCCGCTTCACTGCCTTCAGGATCCTCCGCTCCCGAGGTGAGCCTGGTTCGAAGGGACCTGATGTCTCTGTCGGACCACGCAGAGCTGAAACGGCCAGAAGCTGCGTCGGTCCCTCAGTGCGGCCTGACGCACCCGGGTCCAGGGACCCTTGTGTGGGGGAGACACCATCCTGGGACCCCGTTTTTCCTGTGACCTTGCTAAGGGACTGTCACTCCCGCGCGCGCTATTCCGAGTCCTGCGGCGATTTCAAGCGCCGTAGCCCCTAACGTTTGAGTCCTTCACTTTGGGAGAGTCTCCTGTCGTGGCTCTTTTGCCTTCCTGTCCCTTATCTTCTTTAACGGTGGCCATGGGCCTGACCCTTGCTAGAGCCAGAGGACCCCGACTAAGTCTGTCTCATCTTTAGGACTTCTTAGCTCCTTGTTAGCAACCACAGCTTTCCTAGAAGCTCCTTCGGTGACATTCACCAGCCTAGTAGAGCCCTGCCACTCCCTGTTTGTCCTGGCAAAGCCATTTTTGTACTTCAGAGGGAGCTCAGCTTGGCAGTGCAAATGATCATGTTTAAAATATTGAAATGGGAGGTCCCCCAACTTCCTGGAAGGGTACGCAAAAACCTGTATCTTAAGGAATAAAATGTTGGTTCTTAAGCACGGTGTCTAAATTCCCAGTCAGCCTGTGTTAGTTATATTGTCCTTTACCTCTGCAAACCGGCAGTCCATGGGTAAAAGAGGTTGGTGATGGGTGTGGAAAACAGCGTCCACCCCCCCCCCACATCCCAAATCTGTAAGGTCAAATGTGACGTTATTATATGATGTGTTTAATATCAATTACTTAATTAGGAACTTGCATTTGTAAAATGAATTGTCTCTTCCTCCTCCTCCTGAAAAAAAAAGTGGCTTAGAATTTGTTTTAAGACTAGTAGTTGGAGTACTAACTTTAAGAGATTAATTCAATGCTTGATTAGATTTTATGCTTTCTTTTTTAAGCACTTTTAAATCACAGAATGCTTATATGTACCAGTTGTAATATAACTACATCACAGAAAAGTGAAATGCTTTAGAGGGCTGGGGAAAGGGAAGGAATCTACTGGCTGCAATGTGTCTTAGTGGCTGAGCACTTGCCTCACATGCCCAAGGTCCTTGGTTCAGTCTCCAGCATCACCTAAGCAAAGATACCTACTGCCTAGTTAGCAATAAATTATTAGTATATTTCTTCCAAGTGTACTTGTACTTCCCTGAAACCTAAGGCAGCTTTGGAAACAAAGATACTTGCTCTTTCCTTCAACTTAAATGATTTTTAACCGTTTTTGAGGAACTTTGACTGTTTTATCATTCAAACAACTAGACCTTAATTTTAAACATTCATTTCAAAATAAAATTGTATTTGACACAGGCCCCCCTCAAAAGATTTGTATGTTGATTATGAAAAAGGAATCATTTTTTCACTACCTTTATATGCCTTCCCTTAGCATTTGGTTGTTTTCTTACTGTTTATATTTTTTCCTATTTTCCACATTTGTTATTTAATACTTTTGAAAACTCGTGTATGTTTTTGAGTTTGCCCCTGCTGTTGGTAATAAGGCATTTTTGGTAAACTGGTGTAACACTGAAGTGATAGTCAGGTCACATGTATCCTAGTCACTAACTGTCTGTGTGACTTGGGATAAATATCTAAATCTAAATGGGCTGGATTTCCTCATCTGTATAATGAATGAGACTGGATGATGTTCATCACGAGGTATAGCGTGGCAGAGCAATTAAATGTGGAGACTTAATTCTGGGTTTAAACCAGTCCCTGTCTTTTACCTTCCAGTGACCTTGGGCAGTTTATTTCAAATGTATTTTCTCATTTGTAAATAGGGAATGTTATTTGTGAGGTATAAAGAGATTATGTTTTGTATAAAAGTAGTGGCATACATGCTCCAGAAATATTATCAATATTAACTCTTCTTGGTCCTGAAGAACAATGATCTTATATAATTGAGAATTTTGTAATTTAACCAGTTTATATTTGTAGTAAAAAGCCAGCAGCTTATGTTTTATATTTCTGTATAGAACGTATATGACAATATATGTATATATGATACAATATGTATGCTATATATTTTGCATTATTTTTAAATAATTTATTGAGATTGATCACATAAATTTTACAATTTGCATTACTTTTTCACTAATGAGAATATATCATTATTGACACTGCTTATTTTAATAGAAATATATAAATTTTGAAAAAGACATATGTAAAAGTAGTTATAAAATTGTCTTCACTCGGGGCTGGGAAGGTGGCTCAGTGGTAGAGCACTTGCCTTGTATGCATGAGGCCCTTGGTTCGATTCCTCAGCACCACATAAGCATAAAGAAAAAAGCGGGAAGTGGTGCTGTGGCTCAAGTGGTAGAGTGCTAGCCTTGAGCTGAAGAGCTGAGGGACAGTGCCCAGGCCCAGAGTTCAGGCTGCATGACCAGACCCTCCCCCCCCAAAAAAAAATTGTCTTCACACCTGGATTACCATTTTGACTTGAGAGATGGCATTTTTACCCAGAAAGTCTGTGCCAAAACATTGCCAAATGAAACTAAAACAGTTATTGAGAAATTACTATATTTTCTTAAAATTGACATGTAAGCACTTACCTACTCTGCAGGTACTATAATTATGAATTTAATAATAGAAATTTATTTATTTATTTTTGTTGTCTGTGAGGCCTTAACTCGGCCTGGGTACAGATGTGAGCATTGCCAAAAGGAGACCACAACATGGTTCTGGCAGAAAAGAGTTTATTTAGGAGAGTCAAACTGCTTGGCCGCACTCTAGAATAGTGTGTAGTGTGTAGCTTTCCTGTCCAGACTGGCTTTGAACCACGATCCTCAGATCTTAGCTAGGATTATAGGTGTGACCCACCAGTACCCAGCTAATAATGAAAAAAAAATTAAATCACATGGTATAGCAAGTTCCAGAATATTCCCTACTACTGCCAAATAAGTAAATATCACATCTTGATCATGGTATCTCCTTATTCCCACTTCTCCTACATTAATTTCCTAATCTTGTAAGTGGTGCAGTAACTTCTCAGGAAATGAATTCAAGGCAAATATTTAGTGGCCATGTAGTATTTTTAAATTTGACTCTTCACTTCCTTAATCCTAGGTTCTCTTTTGAGAAAAGTATTTTATTGGTACAATCAAAGTAACATTTTCAAATTTGAAATGTGTGTTGACATAACCCAGCTCTTTGTGCTGACTGTAGTTTTACAGGTATTCTCTTGAATTGCATAGGAAGATGATTAGAAAGTAGGACAAAGGTTTCTCTTGCTGGCACAGTATATGTAGGCTAAAGTTCAGGCTGCCACTGGAGTATAAACTTTCTGGTAAAGCTAGATTCCAAAAGCAAAGTTACCTTGTACTTTGACTGACTTAACTTAGTTGACTGTGGTTTGGAGTTATTTTATGTTTGTGCAATTACTGATTTTTCTCTTGTTCCATCTCTATTGATTGAGAAGAGGCTTTGTGTATGCATGTGTGGGTGTACTTACAGCAAAGATTGGCTAATAGCAAGAGTTAAACTGACTACAATGCTAAAATGAGTATAGACGAATGAGCATTAATCTTTGAATATCAGACACTTAATATTTAAAAATTGTAGCCCAGCCAGGCATGGTGGCACATGCTTGTGGTTGTAGTACCTGGTAAGTTAATCCCAACTGAGGCTCCCAAACTCAGAGGCTGAGGTTGGGGAATTACAAGTTCAAGGCACAGCCTTAGCTACATAAAGAGACTGTCTCACAACAAAATAAAATTGCAACCCATATTTGCTCTTCTTTCTTTTTTCTTTAAGCATTTAACATTCCTATTAACATATTTGTGTTTCTTATCTGTCTATATCATTCTTCCTAACCTTCATTTTTACTTTATCTATTCCCACTCTAATGTACTTTACCCAGATCCAGTTAAAATTATATGCCCCTATTGAATGTCAGTGGCTCACATCTGTAATCCTAGCCACTCAGAAGGCTGAGATCTGAGGACTGATGTTCAAAGCCAGCCCAACCAGGAAAGTCCATGAGACTTTGAACTCCAATTAATCACTAAAAAGCCAGACGTGAGCTGTGACTCAAGTGGTAGAGCACTAGCATTGAGCACAAAAGATCAAGGACAGTACCCTATCTAACCCCTGAGACCAGTGTATACATACATTCAAAAAAATCCATACCTCGTCATTTCCTTTCCACTTTATAAATTCTGTCTGTGTGTGTATGTGTGTGTGTATGTGTGTTGGTATTAGGGTTCAAACTCAGGGCTGCATACATACAGTTTCCTAGCTTTTTTTCACTTGGATTGGTACTCTACCACTTGAGTTTTTTGTTGGCTAAGTGGAGAGTCTCTCAAGCTGGGCAATGGTGGCTCATGCCTGAAATCCTAGCTACTTTGGAAGCTGAGATCTGGGGATCACAGTTTTTTGTTGTTGTTTTGTTTTGTTTTTGTTTTTTGGTCTGGTCGTGGGGCCTGAACTCTGGGCCTGGGCGCTGTCCCTCAGCTCTTCAGCTCAACGTTAGCACTCTACAACTTGAGCCACAGCGCCACTTCTGGCTTTTTTTCTTTTTGCTTATGTGGTGCTGAGGAATCGAACCC